GACTGACCCTGCTTAGCTTTTAAGCCAGGTAACATCAGCCAGGTGCTGCCACTTGCTGGGGACACAAAACATGTACTTGAAACTATAGAGACATTTCTACTGAATATGAATAATGCTGCCTTACAGAATGGTATCTCCAGAGTTTGAATAGAATAGAATAGAATTCTTCATTGGCCAAGTGTGATTGGACACACAAGGAATTTGTCTTTGGTGTATATGCTCTCAGTGTACATAAGGAGTTCTCTGGTGTCACTGTTCTGTCTTTAGCATTGCTATTGCTTATGAATCAGTGATAAACAAGTAATTATTAAGTATTGTGTTTCTCAATGAAAAGTGTCAAAAGCAGTGTTGGCCTTTGCAATATTCAGGTACCTGCAAACCATGCATAAAACTATGAACGAAATGGTCATAGGGTTTTTTTTTCTCCTATAAAAATAGTTTTGTTTTGCTTATAATTTTTTTTTGCCTATGATATGCTGTTGAATTTTTTCCTGGTCTGGTCTGTAACTGTTTTCAGTATTCCATAATCGAATCAGTGGTTTTTTTAAGAGTCGTTCCAGATTTCTTCAAATACTACTACTTTGTAAGTGTAAATAAGCATACATAGGTGTGCATATGACTGCATATGGGTGAGTGGCTCAGTGGTTAGATGGATGGATGGATGGATGACAAATGAATATAAAAAAGAAGATGGGGAGGAACATAGCTTCATCTAAGAAGAAACAGTTATATGGAAACCATGATGCTTCTCAAAAGTTTCATCTCAGAGCAACAAGACATATTTGCACAGACAGCAAGTGTTAAAAAGGTTATTCCGATTTAGAAAAGAAAAGAAAAAGTGACACTATAATTTTGTGGGTTTTTCTCAGTGCAACTGTGGGGAAAAGATTACCAGAGAAAAGAATAGTGAATAATAGCAATATAGTAGTTCTTTAAGATAAAGGTCCTAGCCATAATAGTAAGTTTGACAAGAAAATATATTAATATTTTCATTGTTATAGTGTGACAAAAAATATAAAAGCTATTAAGTATGATTCAGTGCAAAAGATTATCTCATTGTGTATTGTTCTTGGATGTATAGCCAAAAGGAGAAATGTTGGCTTTGTCAGTTTGATGTTCAAACACAGTTGACCAATGAAGATATGAATTACTGTAATCATATTGTATTGATTAATTATGAATAAGTTAATATAGTTATGTTTGTTGTTTGGCATTAGCCAATTCTGTGGGGAAGAGGCTGCCTGCATGTAGAGAATTGTTGGCCTTGACAGTTTCATGATTTAGTAGAAAAACAGTTTTTTCTTGACTCCTTGAAGAAGACATGAAGTAGGGGCTATTTTGTTCCTGTTGATATAAACTGTGGTCTGCACCTTTTATGTCAGTGCAAAATAACACCATCATAAAATATGTTGTCTTAATTGTCAGTCCTTCCCTTCCCCTGTGGTCATTCATTGTCCAAATTGCAAATGTATCTAATATTATAAGCAAGTTGATTGGTTTCCTCCTCTGATTTCATTGCCATTTTTCTTATCAACCTCTCATCATCCTGTAGAAAATATCTACCAATCGGTATATATGAGGTGAAGCTGGCATTGTTCTATAATTTTGAAATTTATATATAAATTTAAAGTTATATAAAATAAAGAAATAATTGGGAATAAGGTACCCCATGATAAATATGTACTTAATAAAAATTAAAAGTTAACTGAGCAGTGCCAAACATTTCAATTTTTTACACTTTATTCCATATTTTTAATCAACAGGGTACAAAAAACCCAAAATTAAATTAGGCAAGGAGGAGGAGTCCACATAAAATAAATTTGCATTTGCTCTGGGAAGTTGAATTACCCAAAGGGAGTTGAAGTGAGTAAAAGAAGAAACATATCCAGAACTCCAGTACTGAAAAATTACTGATAGAATTCTAGGGCTCCATGCTGGTTTCAAAGTGGTTAAAAAAAAATCAGAAATGTAAATACAGACATAGGTAAAAGAGGAGAGAGAACAAGGCTACAGGCAGTTCAAGTAAATATTTGTCCTCGTTCTATTTAGTTGCATTTCAATAGATCCCATGGCTAGGAAACCAGCAAGCTGCCAGGCCAAAGTAGACAATCCACCTGCTGAAGGGGAAAGCTTGAACTCATAGTACAGCCGTTCTCCCCACCCCCCAAGTTATATAAGAAAAGGGCAGAGGCCTAATTATCCTCACTAAATTTGAGCATCTAAGTCACTGGAGAGTATTTTATTTAGTTATTTATTTAAATTTATGGGCTGCACATCTCCAGTGCAATTTGGATTCCATAATGGAGCCCATAACCATGATTGTAAGTTGTGAGGATCACTAAGTGGTAACTGGCAAAAAATGCCAAAAGTCACAGTCACTTGATCATGGACACCGCAAACAACCAAAAATGAGCCAGTTGCCAAGTGCCAAAAATATGATCACATGATCATAAAGGGCAGGAAGTGCTTGCCATCAGAACTCTGGGACTGGGTCATCAGTAGTTTTAGGAAGATCTGTCATAACTTTGAACAATTGTTTACTGACATTAAGTGAGGATTATATTTGTAGGGGTGGCTGCGTGCATGCATGCGCACACACACACACAAGCAGTGCAAAAACGTGGCAACTAATTTTCCAAAACTCAATACATTTCCCATTATTTGAGCTATTGTATTGAATCATGTGCAGCAGCTACACATAAAAGTTCTTCGTGTATGACATTTAAAAATTGTCCAGGTATGCCCTTTCTTCTCTTCAGATAGAAGGGTGGTGTGGTCTGAGCTCCTCTTTTCTATTACTTTGGAAGCCCAAAGTATGGCTGATTTTTAAAATTGAATGGGTGGGCTAAGGGGTAGATGATAGATGAAAACCTAGGTAAGCCCAAAGTGAGAGGACACATTTCAGGAGAGAACTAGCTGTACAAAACTGCACAAATAGCTCCAAAATACATTTCTGGCCATAACTACAATAAATCACATGACCTTACTAGTAATAGTCAGCAAAAAGTTACAGATTTTAGGTAGCTTGAAATTGGTGAGAAAATGTTGGATTGGGGGTGAGAACTACAGTCCTTTTTTTCCCAATATGTAAAGTGATGAGACATGACTATTTAAATCATGGCTGCAGATAAGATGAATATATAAGCATGTGGTTTTCATGTTGGGAAATAAGTGGACAGCCTGTGATCCGCCATGAACATCTTTGGGAATACATTACAACAGCTCAACATCTTCTTATGCTACTCAAAGAACATATTACCTTGTGGGAAAACTAGGAAGAAAAAGCTGCAAGTTTGAACCATTGTGACAATAAAAGCCATTAGATCCCCAATCATCTGGTTTGCTTGGCTTCATTCTTGTTTGCTGTAAAGAGTCTTATCTAGCCACATACTATATCTGTGAGAGTTCTGCTTATGTTTTAGCTTAAGGAATGAATTTAGCTTCGGTGTGTAAAATCAGGTGGTCAGTGATTTGCCGTGGCATTATGCTGCTGTTATATATTGCATGAAGTGGAAGACCAGAGGTTCTGTAGTTTGAGAAGAGGACTGCATTAAGTAGATACAATAATGGCGGCCATTAAGAGACAATCTTCCATGCTCCAATTAATGTGGCTTCACAATTATATTTTGTTCATTTTACTCTTAGGCTAATTTGGAAATAACTTGTCTTAAATCAGAGAGTAGTCTCTGTAGGGTGCTGATAAGCAATATACAAGTCTCCCCAAATTTGTTGCAATATACAAGTCTCCCCAAATTTGTTGCAGGTTGTGTGTTTGGAGGGAGGGGGTTTGATGGACACATTCAATTTTGAAAGCACATTGGCATTCTTTAAAAAGATACCTTTATATACTTAGTTACAGGAGACAGAGTTATTTGAAGGCATATAAGCTTAAATGGCTCTTCACTGTTTCATCTCTTCTACATGTTGGTCTCTATTAACTAAGCTCTTTTTTCTGGCAAATGTGGCAAGTATTGGTCTGCAGCTATCCACCATTTTAGTTTCTAAGAATCTCTCAAGGCACGGATCCCCAATGCCCGGACTGTGGCCCACTACCAGTCCCTGAGCCCTTCAGAAACAGGCTGCAGAAGTGGCAGTGAATGCACATGTGTACGCATTCCCCACTTGAGCAAGCAGCAGGCAAGCACAGGTGATTATGCAAATGGAGCTGATCACTCACTTTCTGTGCTTAGAAGCATCTCCTCTCTACACCCCCACCCCCGCCCAGGCCAGTCTGAGAAACTGGAAAGGTTGGGGAACTCTGCTCTACGATCTGAATGTATCCCAATGCATTGTTGAAAAAGATAGATTATGCTTCAGAATATTTTTGCTTTGGGTATATTTTCTACTCAATTATCTATATGGTAGTCCATTGGGTTTGAAGAATATATAGTGTTGGGTATCTTTGGATACAGAGGTGGCTCTGAATTCCAAGTCTGGAAGCACAGAGTTTAGTATAAAGAAGGCATTGGAAGGCCATTATTGTAGAAATCGTAGGTGTGACATCACACGTAGTTTTCTGTCAGTTTTTGGCAAAGCTTGTCTTGCAAGCTGGTGGAAACTTCATAGTACAGAGTTCACCAGAGTATCATTTATTAAAAACATATAAAGGAGCTTGACATCAAGGAATTGTTAGCGGACACATATTAGTGTTCAGAGTAGCAGAGAGGATTTCTATCCTATCTATTTGCAATCAAAAGATTTTTTTTCGGACCTGACTGGAATTAAGTATGTAAACTTTAAAAAAAAAATCTGAATTTTTATCTTCTGTTTTAGTTTTTATCTATGGCAATATTCTCTTTGTGAAAAAGTTACCATGAAGAGAAGTTGCCACTGTGGTCATCCACATATTGTTGTCCTCCAAGTCTTAACTCCCATCAGTCCTCTCCTGCATATCCATAAATCAGAAATATTGAGATTTGTACTGTATGAGCATTTGGATGACCATGGTTGATGCCTGAACAATTGCACTAATTTTGTGTCTCGTTTTTTTTTCTTCATAGGTAAAGTATGTGCAGAATTCCACAACAAAGGTTTTAAGAAAAGTGAACATTATGGCAAAGTCACCAGAAGGAAGTTCAGCAAAAAGTAACGTTCATCCCACGTTGAAAAATTCTGCCATTAAGTGCCAAACAAATCCAAAAAAGAATTACCGGTAACTGGGAATCTAAATCACAATTACTCCTGATCTAAATATAAAGAAACAACAATAACATCAATGCACAACCACGGGTTGTGGTGCCTTTTTCATATTTGAGTTTCAGTCCTCATAATTCATACGTGTCTCCATGTTTAAAACTCCTTTAGTTGTATATACAATAAATCAAAGTTAGAACTGGCTTGCTGTTCATTAGAATAACTGTGCTAAAAATTTGCCAAAATGAGTGCAGAAGGATACCAGTACAAAGCTTTATATGATTACAAAAAAGAACGAGAAGAAGACATTGACCTACATTTGGGAGATATTTTAACTGTGAATAAAGGTACTTTAGTTGCTCTTGGATTCAGTGATGGAGAAGAAGGAAAACCTGAGGAAATTGGTTGGTTGAATGGCTATAACGAAATGACTGGGGAAAGGGGAGACTTTCCAGGAACTTATGTAGAATATATTGGAAGGAAAAAAATTTCACCCCCTACTCCAAAGCCCCGTCCAGTTCGACCACTACCCATGGCACCAAGTCCTGCAAGAGTCGGAACAGAAGGTGATCAATCAGGTTAGTGATTTGTTGTTGTTATAATTGCCCAAACAAACTGAATACCAAGACACTAATTACCTTGCTTCTTTCCCTTAGGGTAGTTTCAATTCTTTAGCACTTCATGCTGTAGAATATTAACACTGCAGGTGGGAAGAAATTAGTTTAAATATTGTGTAGGGTGTTAAACAATGTAAATGAATGTAAATGTAACAGAAGCAAGTTCATTTGATAACAAATGTGACTAGAAATTATTTCACACTGTCTTCGTAATTAAGTAGGCAAACATCTATTAAAAGTAGGGAAATATTTACCACACTCTTCTAAATATGTTTCTTCTACACTTGAGGGATTTCTGATACAAGCATGGGAGGAAAAAGAAGCCCAGTATTATAAGGCACATAATCAATCTGCAAAGATGGCAGAACTGACCAGGCCCTGAGTGCCCATCTCAGAAAAATCAAGTCCTGTAAAACATTCTGACAGATACATAAATGGTTGTTCCAGTGTGTAGAAATGAGAAAATTGTGACAAATTTAACTGCTGCTTCTGAATTTATTTAAAACCATGGAACTATTGCACTATAAACATGTACAGGTTTTTTCACTATAAGTTTGTTGTTTGTAGTCACAGTATGTGCATATTGGTTTCTATTCAAAATCTTTTTAATAACTTGACTGATAATTAGGCTGGGATAATTAAAATTGAAAACATGAAATCAAATTATGTGGATGGCTTTGTGTATTACCAATTAAAAGATAAGAAACCTAATATTTAAATAGAGTTAACTAATTATGGAATATGTCAACATTGCCCAATTTGAAGTCAGTGGCAATATACTTATGTAAGTGGTTATTATCTTTCTTCTGTTTCTCTTCCACTATGCTTCTGCTATAAAATAAAACAGTACCCTGTCCAAAGTATATGAACAGATTTCTAAAATGGAATTTCGCCTCCTTTTCTTCTCCTTAGCACCATGAGTCCCCAGATTTATCCCCGAAAGTTTTCCAATAATGTTTGGAGAGAAGGATGCCTAGAAATGGACTCTCCACTGAGTCTGTCTATTGCATGTGAAGCATTACACTGGTAGCCAGATTCTTCCCAAACTAAAAGAAGTCATATAGCATGCATTTATAGGTAATCCCCGAGTTACAAGAGTTCACTTAGCGATGGAAGTTGTGACATAACCTTCCCTTCAATACTTACGACACAGTCCCAAAGTTATGAATGTTGCAGCATCACCACAGTCATTCCCCCTTATGAATAACCACCTTGCCTATTCCCCCCACCTCCCGCCTGTGCTGGGCCTGTGGATATTCATCTTATGAAGATCTAGCAAGCCTTCGGTTTCTTGGCCTGCTTCCATACCTCAAGCCGTTGGTGCATTCTCAGTGAATGGAGGCCTAAAGTATAGCCAGATCATGCAAGCTCAGCAAGAGATCTCCTGTTACTGATCTCATATGATCTCATGGTACTTTATGCATTTGTTGTCTGCAAACAGAAGCCTGGACGAATTCTGCAGTCGGAGGAAGCCTTGGGTGGTCAGAAGCACTAGGACCCCTAGGGCCTTCCCCACCCTAGATACCATTGCATTTAATGATCTGCACGTTCAATTAGTGAGTGTGTGGGTGAAAACAGGGAGTGATCATGTTCAAGTTATGAAATTTACTCCTACAAATCCTCAGGTTGTGAGTGTAATTGGTAGGCTCCATTTCATTCGTAACTCTATCAAGAGTCCTTTTTATAGTTACAATTTTTATCAGTTTTCTGGAGGTGGGAAGAAAGCTGTTCAGATTATTGATATAAATATAAGCTTTTCTTAGGACTTTCCACTCAAAAAATACTGTATAGGTGCATTTAAGCATTCTGTTAGCATATGTAGGAGTTACTTCTCGATTGCTGCAACTTTACAGATTAATAAGTCTGTGTCTCTTTTCCAACATGATTATTGCTTAGCTGCAGTATGATTGCAGAATGTCATATATATATATATATATATATATATATATATATATA